TAAATAAATTCAATTTGAATTTCAAATTCAAATAGGGTTTAATTATTTCTTTCCTAAACTCCACACCCCAATTAAGTAATCTCAATTAAATCATTCAAACCCCTATTCCTCCCTTGCATGCCGCCAGCTCACCTCCACCTTGGCAGGAACCAGCAATTTCCAATAAATTATTTCCTATTCTACCAAATTGTTTGGAAACTAATTTCAAATTCCCGTAACTCCCCTACTTCCCCTGGACTTAAATTGGGATTTATTTCCTAAGTACAGAATCCTATCTTAGGTAATCAATCCAACGCTCATTATTTTTTCCTCTAGCCAAAATTCCACCATGCCTTTTCTGTTTGATTTATTCCACTAGGAAAGTCCCTATTTAGAAGCAAATTAAGTCTTAATTCCCTCCCTTCTCTCCACCGGAAAATTCCCAAAATCTGTCCACGGGCAGTGTCCACTTTTGGGAAGATTTGAAGAGCAAATCTGAACGCCTCTCAGCATTCTTTGTGAAAATCTGAATTTCTCTCAGATTTTGAATAAAAATCTGAAGTAATATTACAGATTTTGAAACGAGTTTTGGACTTCTGCCCCATCCCCTTCCCAAAATGTAATTTTCTTCTCAGTTTTTCTCTTCACCATCAAGGCTGAAATTTTCCAAGGCCTCACCTAGGCTTGTGTTCAGATTTTTGGAGAGGAGATCCTTTCCCTAGCAAATTTCAATTTCCGTTCTACATCAAACATACTTAAAACATGGTGAAAATCTTTGTATGCTTGTCACTTGAATGTTGCTGCTAAGTATGCTATTGAACACATTAATTTGATAATTATATCACACCACATTTTTACAACATGGCTTGGCTAGATAAAATTACTTTTCTATAACTCAAAGATGCTTGACATGCATTCAACTTAATTTACTTAGTGATAAAATGCGATGAACTATTTTATCTATAAATGTTGCATATGTCGCTTTGAGTAGGCTGTGATTGTATGATTTGGATGTGACACACTTTGGAAAGTCCAATTCTTATATGTTCAAGAATAATGGAAGGAGGGTAATTTTGAAAACTTATTAGACATAAGAGTTCTTCCACATCAAATGAATCAATTGCTTCTAATGAACTAAGAAACCTTTGCATGTCTTGAACCAACATGATTTTGAAAAGGGGATTATTGTTGAGGGAGTAATTTATGCGTTGATAGCTTTTGAATTGAATAAAGAGGCAACTGGGAGTGTTTGTATTTGATGATGTTGATCACTTATTATATGAATTTAAAGAACAGTCCTGATGAACCACATGATGTATTAGCTCCCCTTAGGAATATAAAACATGTTAACTTGATTCTTGGATCATAATTACTTAATTTTCCAAATTACATAATGAATCCTACAAAATTTGTTGGACTTAAAAGCAAGTAAATGAACTTTTTTTGAAAATATTAATTGTTGAGATTATGAGTCATATGTTATTATATTACTTGTATCTAAGAAGGGCAGTAGTCGAAGGATGCTTGCACTTCGTTAGGCAATAAAGTCACCATTAAATATTGATTTCCAATACCAAATTTAGATGATATATTAGATATGATGGTTGTAGCTGCTTTTTAAAGATTGATTTGAGGAGTGATTATGATCAAGTGAAAATGAGAGATGATAATGAATGGAAGGATACTTTTCAGATGAAGGATAATTTTTATGAATGATTAGTAATGCTTTTTAAACTAACTAATGAATCAAGTGCTTTCATAAGAATCATGAACTTCGATTTTAACCTTTAATAGGAAAATTTTATAATGTGCAAAATTTACAATAAAATTTCAGAGGTATTTACGATATTCCTAGGAAGGTCTTTAAAAAATTACATATAAAAAATTGTATTTTGATTTGTAGAGGTGCTATTTTGTTATTTAGTCTGTCATATTTAGTGGCTTAGTAAAGAATTGTTTATTGATCTCGATTATGTTAAATCAATCATGGATTGTTTGACAACTTTTATCATTCATAAATTTCAAATTTCCATGATTAGGCTGCCTTCAATCTACAATTCATTTAGGGGTTTAATACTATCATGACAACTATTATAAATTGCATTAGGGAGAATCTAAATGAACAAAATTTGTAGAGCATGCTTCAAGTGATATTACATAGAGGCTTACATAGATTATTTGATTTTAATATAAGTTTTATATGATGCATATGTTGTAAGAATTGGAGTTTTGAGTTGAGATGAATATCCACTTGCTTATTTTAGTGAGAAGTTAAATGAAACAAAAGAAAATATTCCAATTATGATAAAAAGTTCTATGATTTTGTACCAGCACTTTGATGCTGGAAGCACTAGTCTGAGATTGTTTCCAATTTTGATAATCAAACAGTAAAACATCTAAATTATCAACTGTAATTAAAAACATGGGCATACTAAATTAACTGAGTTCTCACAAGAATGCACATAAATTGTTCTATAGCATTATGCTGGAATTGAAAATTAGCATGTTGATGCCTGTAGGGTGGTTATCTTACAAAGTATGTTGATTAAGGTGATTGATTTTGATTATATTAAAGAAGACTATGCCAACAATAAGGATTTTCGTGAGATAAATTTTGATTTAACTAGTGACTATGCTAAATAATATTTTATGGCTAAGGATGACTTTCTTTGTTGGGAACCCAGCTTTGCATAGCTGACTCATTTATGTGATTCTTATTTATGTTTGACTTACATGCTAGTAAGGCTACAGGACATTTAGGACGTGATATAATTGCAACCTTGATTCAAGATGAAAGTTTATTAGCCTAATTTGTAAATTAATGTTGCATGCATAGTTTCACAATGCAGAACATGCCAAACATCCATGGAAAGAATTATAATATTGGGTTTTATACACATTTGTTTATTCCATATAAACCTTGGACTATTTTTTTTTTTATTATTATTTATTATTTTTTTTATTCATATAAACCTTGGACTATGTTATATTGAACTTTATTCTATGATTGTGATAAGCTCTTTGAAAATATGATTCTATCTTTGTAGTGGTTGATTGCTTTTAAAAAATTACACATTCCATTCCATGTTTTGAAATTTTTGATATATCTCACATGGAAAATAATAATTCAGCAGAGTGGGTAAACTACATTATTTACTTAAAACCATTGTGTTCGACAATGGAATAAATTTATGAGTTATTTTTCATAAATCTTATGAAAGAAAACGAGAAACTAACTTCAAATTTTCAATTGCTTCACCCATAAATTAATGGACAAAATGAGGTAGTTAATAGGACTAGGTGATTTGTTGTGCTTTATTATTAGAAAATACACATTGGTTTGGGGTTGATTCTCCTTGTGGGTAAATTTACATACAGTTCATCTGTTGATAGGTGTACAGGCATAAGTCCACTTGAAATTACTATAGAATATCAATCTAGCAAGCTTATAGATTTTGTTGAACTTTCTATTAAGTCTAGATCCAATGAATTGACACTATCATTTGTATATTATATGCATGATTTACATGGGAAGAATTTAAGAAAACTAATTTTTAATTATAACAATTATAAATCTATTGTTGATATGAGAAAGAGATATGTAGAATTCAAACCAAGTGATAGGATAATGGCATGTTTGAATCCTATATAATTTCTATAGGGGCCTTACATAGACTTCTATACTGCATTGGGATGAATGCTGAATTGAAAATCGTAGAATACAGCTAATTTAATGAATTTAGAGTAGTTATTAATTGTAAGTAATCTTGGATTTCATCCTGAGGCATGTATTTTCAATTAATTTTGAATAAAGATCATTTTTCTCTTAATACTTTTACGAGTCTTGATGGCAACTTTTGATTTTTAATTTTTCTTGTATTTGCGTGAGGCATGGATCTTCCAATTTATAGCTTCTATCATTTGTTCTGCAAAATTATTTAGTGATTAGTGCATGATTGAGATCTTGTTAAATTTGTGTTCTTTTTTTGTGGTGTAATTTGTATTTGTTGCAAAATTTTATATTTGTTAACTTTTTTTTTGTGAAATTCAATTTTTTTTAACTTCTATGTTATAATTTGGAGCCAATGAAATATGTTTTCTGGTGTTACATTAATACTTGTGAATTAATAGTTGGAAATCTGTGAATTTTGATATTGTTGTGTTTTTAGCCTTCACTCATATCATCTTTGATTTTGTTAGTGTACTATTGACCCTAAAATGTCCTAAATTATATGATTTCACTAATAGATGCACGTCAATACAACTAATTAGATGGGAATACAATCACTACTCGGTCAGCCCTATTTGCTGATTTTGTGCTCTGAGTACTAATTGCTGGCCTTTTGATGGGATATGTCGTCATGTTTGGGTCTGATATGGTCCCTATTCTGCATCTTTTTTTTTCCTAGGGTATTAATCAAAGTTGGAATATTAGATTTAAAAGGTTCATAATCCTCTGTTATATACCTGGCTAAGTTCTTTATTTAGGATCAAATATCAAATACTTGCATTCTATCTATCTCTCCCAGTTTAGGCCCAACTTGTAACTTAAAATTCATACGCGAATTTTCTTTGGAAACCCAAAAAGCTCAGTTCTTTCTTGTTCTCCTAGTTTAGGTTTAACTTGTAACTGAAAATTCATATGTACTTTCTTTGATAACCCAGAAATCATAGTTCTCTATTGTTTGACGGAACAATTTCTATATTACTTTCACAGTTAGATTAATTGTGGATGCTGCTTTCTGAATTTTATTGATTATATATAAATTAATAACAGGTTGTGCAATAATGACATCCTCTCACATGTACAGCAAGTTATATGCTTTGCATTTCATGATAGTAAATTGCTCATGGAGACTTGCCAGGAAGCAAAGAACCTCAGAAAAATCGTTACTCTATTCTACTTGGATTGACTGCTACATTCAGAAGCATCAAAAGCTTCGTCATTTTTGGTTACAGGTTCTTTTCATCCCTGCTGTTTTCTTATTTTCATTCAACATCTTTATCAAAAAGAGATGTTCTTCCTGCAATGTAGTTCTATTTTATTGCTTGATTCTTGAATAAGGTAGTGTAAGGACGAGAATTCTTAGTATTTATGGAATTGTTTTTTCTTCAAAGAACTGTGCACAGTGTATTTATGGAATTGTTTTATTTATTTATTTCTTAGGAAGTAGTAGGACATAATTTAGTGTATCCGATCATCAGTCTCTTATTCTTTTTACCTTTCAGAAATAAATAAAGGACATAATACTAAAGAACTTCAGGCATATTGATCATGACTTTAATTTCCGTTAAAATTCAAGTAAATTTTTGAATATTCACATTTGTCTTCCACTTGCCCTCTTTTCCTCTTCTGCGTTTTCTTAATCTCTTTCTTTTGAGCATGTCTGTTTTATGCAATAAAAAGCTGTTTACTATTGACACTTGAAACACACAAAATTGTTGATGCAACTATGTACTTTTTGTATGGCCCATCACCAAAATCTACTAATGTTGCTTCTCTTGAAATTACCAAAACGCTTGTTCACTCACTTTGAACACTCTGAAAAACTGTTAGTTACAACCACATCTGTCAAGATCCATGTGAGAGGAATCAGTGAACATAGTGCCATAACAAAAGTGAAAAAAGTTTCTTATATTAGATCCAATGAGTGTCTATCGATTATATATTCTGCTCAATTTGAGCTCCTAATATTCCACCCTCCTAACAAGTGTTATTTGATCCAATTATTCGATTGAGATTGAGTGGTTCATGCAGTTTATCACTTATGTGGGTCTTGTCTGTTTCTGTCATGGTTGAACACAATTCAATAACAGTTACCTGTCATGTAATGTGCGCATGGCGATGCATGACACTGTAAACATTGAAAATTTTTCATTTGAAGTGGAGTGATGGATGATGTGTGGAGATCTCTGATATGAGGGGAGAGGATTATCAAGATCCAAGTGACATTGGAGAATTATCTCATATTAAATATGAACAGTTGGTCAAGATATTCGGATCTCCTTATTCATTGGACTCAATCGAAGTTATCTGTGTTTCACTCTTCCAGCAGCAGCCAGTCACAGATATTATTATCCTGATAACACATCAAATCATTCCATGCCCGCTGCAACAAATTATTATGTTCGGACACCAGACAGAGAGAATCATCCGGATTTCTCTCTGTTTATAGTAAAAGCACTGCTGATATAGTAACTGCACTTTGATTGCACTTTTACTGTAGACAGAGAGAAATTCGGTTGATTCTCTCTGTCCGGTGTCCGAACCTAATAATTTCTAGCTTGCCGCAAACCATGTCGGCGAAGGTAAAAGCTACTACCAACATCGTAACTAGCAACTAAATTCTCCCAAAGAACAAAACTACCATGGAAGTGAAAAAATGTTAAGAGATTGAGGTTTCGTTTGGGACAGTTTTCTTACTTCTTAAAAAAATTTTGAATAAAATACTGCTTTAAGAAGAAATAAAAAAGCCGTCTCAAATGAAACCCTAATCTCTCAGAGATAAACTTAGAGTGCTCCTTGCTAACCTGTATCTATAGTCCTGCTCTTTCAAACTTATTCAAATTGCACACACCAATTCTATTTCTAATTTTCATTCTGATCTCAGTTTTTAACTCTCTTCCTACACATTTGTATTATCTAACTATCATCAATTCATCATCATCATCATCTAGTGGCTGGGTAATGGCATAAATGTCCATGTTGACTGAAATAATGGAGAAAATCATAGCTTATTTCTAAAACAAAACAAAATTGTTGGAGAAACATTTTAAAAGGTGAGTTTTAGCTAAAGAAAGCCTGAATTTTGGCTTCGTTTGGGACGGTTTTCTTATTGCTTCTTAAAGTAATATTTTATTATAAAAATTAAAAATTTTTCCTAATTTTTTTTTTTTGAAAAATAGTAAAAATAGTATCATCAATCAATCGAAAAACCAGAAGAAAAACTTTGACTGTTAGCTTAGGACATGTTAAGTAAAAAAAATATTGATATGAAGGTGACCCTTACCAACCACTTACCAACATGAGCTGAATAAAAGGCTCCATGATTCACTGATCTCAGCACCAATGATTGTCTTTGAAATTGGGTACTTGAAACTTGTTAGGTTACCCACAAGCTCATAAATGTTTCATATTCCATATAATAAGAGGCTGACTGGAATTATTTTTTTTTTAAATTTTTTTAAATATTTTTTTGAAAAATAAAATGTATTTATTATCTTAAAGATATGTTATTTTTATCAATGATTGACTACTGTGAGACAATATTAATGATGTTGGTGTCAGCTGATTGTGTTTTTTTTTTTTAAAAATATTTAAAAAATTTTAAAATTTATTTATGATTTTTTTAAGTAATTTGATTTATTTAAAATTTTAAAAATAAAAACAGTTAAATAATATATTAAATAAATACGTTTTTTTAACTGATAGAACTAAAAACAAAATATTAAAGTGTACCCCTAAGTCAATGAGCAGTTTTGGCTTCTAACATTTATATTATCCATTCTCCAAAGTCAAACTAAAAGATTTTGTAATCTCCTTTTGATTAGAATTTTGTGAATAAGATATACCTTCTTATTAAAAAATGCTGGTGTATGAATGGAAATCTCTTTCTTTGAATTCTCTGTGAAGTTGGCAGAGATTTTGATCTGACTTTTGGGGCTCCCAATTGAATTTGTTGGTGATGTTGATGGTCTCAATGAGTCGAGTTGAGTTCGAGTCATTTTTAATTAGAAATTGATTAATTAATCGAGGTTGAGCTTATGCTCTAACCTTTGGAATTTTTATTGCGTCCTCCCACCTGACGTAGAGATGCGTCCTCCCAACGCCAAAAAACTCGGTTTTTGCTCGGTATTGCTAGATATTATTTGGTAATAACGAGGAATATCATCATGTGAAGACCAATACCGAGTTATACCGAGCTATACCGAGCAATACCGAGCAATACCGAGCACATACCGAGTTTTCTCTAGAAAAAACTAGGTATTTTTTGTATTGCTCGGTAT